TATATATATACCCTCAAACATCACTGTACTAAGTCCTGAATATGCTTATACTTCCATTCAATCTGCAAAGTATTTAGGCAATAAGTAAGTGCTTTAAATCCTAATTTCTTCGTGTAGTCAACGTAAAGATGGTGAATAAGTCTTGATTAAGAACATTATAAAAAACATTATATTGTATGGTGGCAACCCTTAAAATTGAAAAAAGGTTATAGCTCACGTTCTTCGTCTTTATATAGAGTTTATAATATATAAATATATAGCGATCGGAAAAACAGTTAGGCATAAAAATTTAATTAAAAAAATTTTGTATGGTGGTGACACAAACAATTGATTCAAAATTAAAATGTAATATATATATCATAGAGTTTGAATAATACCCCTCCAGAGACCCTCCAGCATCTTAGGAGAAAATTCAATTTGTAGCATAAACATCTAATAGAAAAAGTTCCAGTTTTCTAACTAAATTTCCCAATACTTCTCTCCATACGCAACTCATCCGAACTATAAGGAATATGTTTTTTAATTACCCGATCCAGGTATCCAAATCGGTTCAGGTATCTTTAAGTAATTTGCTTACCAGCATAAAACACTTCATTTTTATTGCCTAGATTAGTACTTCCCATTAATGTTAAAATTTATATGATATTGCGGTATTATTAGGGGTAGTATATACCACACTGATACGATATCAATGCGATAGTCAAAAAAAACACAGTGGATACGATATACTATCGATACCTTATTTATCTGCGCAACATGACAACACACATTGCACCGATATATATATATATATAATTTTATCTGCGTCTTTATTGTTGTTATGATATATTGCCATAGTGAATTTTTTGCGTATACTTACCCCAATCTCTAAATCTTTTTATTAGGTATAGTGTTACAATTACTGGGAAAATATAATAAGGTTTTCTATGCAAAAATTACCAATTTGTATTAATTTCAGAGTATTTGCAGTCAACATTACTATTACTACTACCACGTAATAACTATCTATAATAACGTAATATCTAATCTAATATAACTATAATTTTGTATTGAATTCCAAAGTTTGTAATAAAAACCAAACTGAATTCGCAAATCCAATTACTTTTCTTATAACTTATTTTTACAATAAATAATAAAGTGCATGATATAATAATAACTAAAAACTTAATGAAACCTGTATTTAATTAAAACAAACACAAATTAACTACGTTAACGATTTTCATTATAATATAGTTAATAGATGTGGAAACTAAGTTTCACCGCACACACTCTTGCTACAAGCACATTGTGAGCACTATCAACAAATCTTTTCAGTTTTCAAATAAATTCCATTATTACTACCCATAAAATATTTCTTTGGATTGTATTGGAGAGGATTTTCAGTTTTCTTCGTAGGCAATATACGATAATTCCGCAATATCATTACCAAACCGATCATAATAACCAATCTACTAAATCTATTACCAATACAAAAACGAGGTCCATCGCCAAAGGGTATATATGTAAGACATTGAGTTACGTTTTTCCACTTCCGATGGAGAAAATCGTTCTGGATTAAACTCTTCTGGGTTTGGAAATAATTCAGGATCATGATGCAATGCATCAATAGGTATCAGTACTTCCATACCTTTTTCAATCACATGATTTGTATTCGGTATAACATAATCCTTAATTGCTCTGCGTAATGTAAATGGTACAATAGAGTACTTTCGCATAGTTTCTATATAAAAAAGTTATTTCAATATAGTATCCTTTTTTCGTTTAAATATATCTAATTTTAATATTTACCATTTAAAACCTTTTCCATATATTTCATTTCATTCATTGCTTCATATGTAAATTTTCCTTCATAACGTGCAAGTACTTCCATAATTTCCTCTCTAAGTTTATTTTGGACCATTTGATTCAGAGCCAATTCATATAGACAAAAACTCATTGTACATGAACTCGTTTCAAATCCGGCAGTGAAAAATACATATGCTTGTGCTGTTATCTGCTCCATAGTTATAGGATCTGCCGTTTCTGAATTTTTTAAATCTATAAGCAGGTTTAAGAAGTCCTTTCGTTGTGTTCCAGTCTTCTCACGATATGTTACAGTTTCACGAACAATTCTTAAAAAAAATTCTCCAACATCATCGAAATGGAATTTCATACCCAATTTTCTTGCCAAATCCGGATAAGAAACTATAAACGAGTGCACAAACCAATTGTGTCGGTAACGGAATCCTTTTATACCCATCACCTTGAATTCTGCTTCAGGATTCTTGAGACTATTACAACTTAAACCGAAAGCAACACTACCGATGACATCTACTGCATATCGTGCTATTAAATCTTCAAACTCAATACCCATTTCAAATGAACCGGACTCATGTGCATCTCTCATAACTTCAACTAATTGGGTGGCAACATCAACCACAGTTGGAAACATAAATTTCATTTTTCCCGCAGTAAAGGTTGGAGTAAGTTTAACACGCATATTTCGCCATTTTTCATAATCCAAATGCAATATACTTGCTGATATCGGATCATCCTTCTCATTATAGTAAGTTCCACGATTGGGAAAGTACTCAAAATCCTTGATGAGTACATTTTTTATAAGCTCCAAATCAAGTATGAATATAGAACGTCGTATAAACAGATATAAACCAACATATTTTGCTTTTCCTTTGTATTTCATATAAAAATCGCGAAATATAAGATATAGTGGTTTGGAACGCCTCAACTCTCGAAAATTACCAAAGACAAGTTCCGGTTTATCGTGCAAAATACCACGTTCTGCGAAATAGGAATATCTTTTACGTAGTATAAGATAAATTCCTAAAAGGAAACAAATAGTCGAATAAATCGAGACTAAAAGAAAATCCATAATAATATTGTGCTAATAGAATATCCATATAAAGACTGATGTGGCATGGGCAGTCGAAATATGTTATATACTACAAAATAGGTACTATGAAAATAAATTAACGCCAACAAATGTTATTTTTTAATTAAAACCAATTACAGTTTTTTTAAAAAAATTTAATTAAATCTTTGTTTTATATTTGTACTGTGACGATAATAATAGCCACTAATTTATCTTAAGTATTAAGTGCGCTAATCTATTTATTTTAAATCCTTGCTTTTTTATATGGCATGCCTTTATTATAAACTTGGTTGAGTGTTTTCACATATCATTAAAGTGGGTTAGTATAGCTACTTCTAACAAACTAGAATAATTACCCAGAGAAACATATGAACACCGACTCAGTTTGCAATCGTAGAAGAGGTGTTTGAAAACTAATTAATTTAAAAAAAAAACAATGCACTTTATCAAGTGTAACATAGGTACAGAAAGCGTTTTGCGATTCGACACTGCTTATATATGCATAAATATTCTTTGTGTTTAAATTATATAGAGATTATATCACAATATTTTTACTTTTATTAAGAGTACGTAATATGAACTTAATAGTGACTTAGAAAACAAAGTTTATTGATTAGATTATGCTGGCAGGCCAAAAATGCCACGCATATATCATTAAGGTCCATTGCAATACCAGATCAGAGTCTTATTTTAGCGATTGTGTACATCACTTAGGATGCGCATTTCGTTAGCAAATTTTTTAGGCTTCTAACAGAAACCTTGGATATGTGCTTCAGTCCTGTAAAACTGAATGCCCCCAAGTATTTTTGTCGAGTTCTTGAGAGAGCCAGGCAATTACACAGTAGATACTCCAGAGTTTCCTTTGCATCCGACTCGTTGCATTTCCTACAAGCATCGCTGTGAGTTAGGTTTTGTTTTTGGGCATGTGATGCGACCAGACAGTGACCTGTCAACACACCAATTAATGTTCTGCAGTTCCTTCGGTTAGACGATATAACATCCTTGGTGTACTAATCTAATCTATTCATTGGATCCTTGTTTAAATGTAGTAAAGTAAGAAAAGCAATCCTCAATGAGTTTCAGCTTATCTCAGTTCATCAAACATACGCGTCAATTTATCCAATAATGCAGATATTGTTATATATTTTCAAAACAAATATTGATAACGTTAAGGCTACTTGCAAAAATCTGTAAAGTTTTGTATAATTTAGTCAAAAATTTGGATTTTTTAACATAATCAGAGTTTCTTATAATATTTTAAAGTTTTGTGATTTGCACAACACACTATCTATTTTCACAGAATACAAACTATAACCGTCTTTCTATACGCTCACCGATATGAATGTAATATATCTAAAATATTGATGGATTTTAGTTTTAATTTCGACACATCTCAGTAGTCCATAATTTGCCATACTCTCTTGCAAAACATCATCAAATAAGTCACATTTGTAACAACGACTTTATACAGTGTATAAGAAAAACGTGATGCATTAATTCATCATCGAAATTGAGATTGTAATGTACCACCCTGAACCTAAATTATAGTACATTATCATTGCAACGTTCTAAACAAATGTAAAGTCAAAATTTGTAGAAATCGATATAGTCTAGGAAAGAAAAAATTTTTTTCCATTAAGACCTGCTCACACAGTTCAGAAACTCAATTTGCTACAACAACCACTCTTTTCACAGATCTTTTAGCTCCTCTTAAAAATCTCTAAAAGAAAAGACAATTTCATCAAACAAAGAGGTTATAGTGGCTATACTTCACTAATAGTGAATTCCAGAAATGGTATACGAAAATTAAAGAAAGAATGGAATAAATGCATTGCCACTGACGGAAATGAGTCTCCTTTCAATTTCAGTTCCTGTCACAAAACCAGCGACTGTTAACATGAAAGTTAAGGAGGGAACAAAAGCTTATGATATAATCAGAAACAAAACCAAAAAAGTTCAAAATCTGGCCTGGAACTAATATGTTAAGACGTTCACTACAACAGAAATAACAAAGTACTGAAGTATTTACTAACAACCGAAGCCTTAAAAAAATAAACAATAATAAAAATTTAAGGAAATGAAATTATATAAATAAACGATTTATTTGCAAGTATAAAAAAAAATACACAAATTTACAAACAAAATTTTTATTAGGACAGTACATGCATCCTGCAAAGGTTTATTGAAGAGGATACTTTTATAAAATTTTTATTATAATACAACATTAACATAAACTTAACAGAATACAGTCTTGCATCCACCCTTTAAATTTAAGAAATTTTCTCGGTTCTCAAATAAATTCCATTTCTACTACCCATGAAAAATTTACGAAGGCTAAATTGAAGAGGAATTTCAGTTTTCTTCGTTGGCAAAATACGATAATTCTGCAATATCATTACCAAACCAATCATAATAACCAATCTACTAAACCTAATGCCAATACAAATACGAGGTCCATCGCCAAAGGGTATATAAGACATTGAGTTACGTTTTTCCACTTCCGATGCAGAAAATCGTTCTGGATCGAATACTTCTGGATTTGGAAAATATTCTGGATCATAATGCAATGCATCGATAGGTATCACTACATCCATACCTTTTTCAATCACATGATTTGTATTCGGTATAACATAATCCTTAATTGCTCTGCGTAATGTAAATGGTACAATAGAATACTTTCGCATAGTTTCTATTTAAAAAAATTATTTCAATATAGTATCCTTTTTTCATTTAAATATATCTAATTTTAATATTTACCATTTAAAACCTTTTCCATATATTTCATTTTTTTTTTTGTGTCTTCTAGTTCCGTTTCGGTTTCTAGTGTTTTATTGAGCGAATGTAAGCTCATATGCGTCAACCCTTCAGCGCTATCATTCTGGTTATGGATGCCTCCAGTCCAGGAGATGTTCAAGTTCTAAGATTATTTCTTTTGAGACGTTTGTTCCATGCCGTGAAAATAAAATTATCATCATTCGTCTTTGCGTTTTGCCGAATTATTTTGGTTTGTCACCCGCCTTTCATGCTGTTGCCTACAAAAACCCTCTCCTAAAATGTTTTGATGTTATTTCGGGAGGACAGCGCCATGACCTCAAAATTGCTGACGAAGGTGGAAAGACCTGCGCGCGGATGCAGGTTACCCAATGCAGTCAGATTGGATTGTGGAAGATCAAGGTTCCGATCTGCTCATTCTTTCCAGTTCAGGGCATAGCGCTAGCATATTTGCCTACCAACCCGATTCCCGGTCCATATTAATGGTTTGTTCTGAGCCAGGGCCACTGGCGGCATGGGCGTCTCGTTGAGAGAATGACAATGCTCCGTTGATTTTCCGTATATTTTTCATTGATGCTCAAAAATTAAGCATTTGTTCGAATAGGGCAAAATTAATCACATTTTAACTATTGGGAATATCTGCCGAAGATCTTTGGATTTTTTGACGAAAAGTCTGGATTGGATTTTTTTTGTTGAGCCCTCTCTGCTGAAAAAGCCCTCTTAGTTGCGCATATTTCGGCCTTGGGGCGATGTTGATAACAAAAAAACTCATTAACGTATTATTAATGAGAAAAGATTTTTCGGATGTGCGAGTAAGTGCACATTATTCGATCCAAAAGTGCGCTAACTCAATAATTGAGTGCCTTGGGATTGATTGTAATATTTTCGGGACTGCTCCCGATAGTACAGGATAACTGCGACATGGCTTCGACTTATTGGACCGGCGGCACTAGCGGCGATTTTTATAATGTCACGAACTGGTCGACGGGTGAGTCTCCGACCACGTATCATGACGTTTCCATTTTCGGTACTAGCGCTACTGTCACAGCAGAAGCTGTCGCGAGCACGGTCAGTGCAACGCCGGTTCCCAGCCTGACAATCGGTGGGTACGGCACACTCGACATCACGGCAACGTCCTGCCAGTCCAGCGAAAGCTCTCCTGTCTTCTCGACCAGTGCTTTCCAGGTGTTCCAGTACGGCACGATCGTGATCGATACGCCGTCTGCAGTTCAGCTTGGCGACATCAACGTCATGAACGGCACTCTCACCATCGAAAACAACCGTAGCAACGTTTTCATGGGTGCGGGTTCTCGTCTGAATGGCGGCGGTACGCTGAATCTGGTTGATTCCACGTTTGGTAGCCAGACAGCCAGCATCAACGTCGAAAATTCGATGCACATTACGCTCTCTGGCAACAGCACGATGTACACGGGTTTTCTGACGACGGGTGTCTCTGTTGCATTCGACTCCAAGTCGAGCGAGCAGTTTTTCCTCAATGGTTCGGACGGAACGGTCGACACCAAGTTCTCGGGTGTTTCTTCCAAAACCCAGTTCGGAATCACAGCCAATACGGGCGAGACCCCGCTTTCGGCATCGTATGTCAAGAATACGGACGGTAGTACCAGCCTCGTTGTGCAGGAAAGCGATAACCACACGCTGACCCTGAACAGTGTCACGATGGCTTCCGGATATACTCCGGGTACCCTCGCGATTACTCAGGATAAGAGCGGTAATTATCTTATTTCTGATACGTCCGCGAACAGTGGCAACTCGGGCAACCATTGTGGTGGGCACGGTGGCCACTGGGGTCATCATGATGGAAACTCGAGCGGTCATTCCGGTTGGAACGGCCACGACGGTCACTCGGGATCGAACGGTCATAATGGCTCCAGCACGGGTTGTGGCGGCCATGGCGCGAGCTGGGGCTGGGGCTGGGGATCGGGTGGCTGTGACTACTCCTCTTCCATCAAGCAGATCATTGCGTCCTGGAGCAATGCTTTCTCGTCCTGCAAGGGTTGGCAGTCGAGCAGCTGTGGCAGCAGCAACTGGTTTGGTGGCAACTCCGCCCAGTCCGGTAGCGGCTGGAGCTCTTCTTTCAACTGGGGCCAGCAGAGCGGTTCACAGGGCTGCTTCTCGTCATCGGGACAGTCTTCGTCGCACTCCCAGGCATCTGTGATCCACAACACGTCTCACTGGGGCTGCTAATCGCTCTGGCGATTAGTCTGGTTCCAGGATTGAAAAAGAAGCACCTGGAAACGGGTGCTTCTTTTTTTGTTTCCAGTATGAATGTTGGAAAATAAACCGTTTCAGGAACAACAAACAGAATGTCTGACAGGACGCACGAGCCCACCGGTTTGAGTAGCTCTTCGGGGGATCATATCCCGTCTCTGCAATCACTGCGGGGAATTGCGTCCATAACCGTATTGTTGCGTCATTATGTGCGTTGCTTTCCTGGAGGCGAAACTTTCTGGCTGGCATACCAGAATATCTTTCTGAATTCGCAGGCGGCCGTTGTCGTATTTTTTGTTCTAAGCGGCTTCGTCCTGTCTCCGTCTCTTTTCAGAAAGTCCATAAGCGTGAGTGGGCTTGCCGGATTTTACGTTCGGCGCTTTTTTCGCATTGTTCCGCTGCTTGCAGTCGTAACGGCTTTATCGCTTATTTATGTAAAATCGTCTTTTTCGACCTGGGACGTGCCATTTACCAATTCCTGGTTTGCCGGGTTGCTTCCGCATGGCGTGCCGTTATCGG